TTGACAATGAAATGTGATATTATTCAACCATTTTTATGAATGGTTTGCTGGCCCCTAATAATTTTTTGCTCGAGAGCAAATTTGTCATTCATATAAGCTAATGTGAGTTGATGGATATGGGAGAACGCATATTATGGCATAAATGAAGCAGTGAAACTTGGAAATGGGGTGGATTCTCGAGCTTGGAGGTAATTCCTTACAACATGTGACTTTTCGATTTTGTCCATTATTTTAAATGGCCTAAATTAACATTCACTTAACTTTTGAAAATCACATTTTGATTAGACTATTGTTTGCCGAAATATCCATAATCAAAGATAGGCCTCCTACATTGAATTCTTTGTCGCTGCAATGTTTACTATATTGGTTGGTCATATATTGACGGGTTCTTCTTAATGTTTCCTTGATCATGGACACAGGTTGTTGGTGTGTTGTTTTATTGTTAATAAAAGTGACTTGGGATCTACCGATGGTGTATTGTTGTATCGATGGTCGCGGTCACCCCTATTTATTTGTCCATTGAAGGTGTTGTGTACTTGATTATAGCATCTTTGTAATAATTTTGTTGAGATCTTCTTCCAAAAACACCTCGAAAAATCAGATCTCAACCTGCGAGAATTGTTTTGTGATGGTTATGTAAACTATATACGTTCTCTAAGAAAAGTGTTTCCTGGATGTTTGTGTTAAGTGTGATAGTAAGGCGAGGAAGTGGAAAAACTTGGTTAATATGTCGATAATGACCCACACTATTGTTTTCCATTGAAAGGTCATAAGTCGGTATTAAATCCTTTGAAATATCTTCCCTTATTTTGAGTATATTGAATTGCATTACATTATGTTGTTGCCGGTGTAACTTTTTTCTAGAAGTGTTATATTTTACCGTGTTACATTAGATTAGTATTCTTTTTTTATATCATTTTTTTATTGTTGAATGTATTTATTTTAGTTGGAATCCAAAATTATCATTTATTATGTGGTTATCAAATGGTTCTTAAGACTCCCAGAATGCTTCTTCGTTTGTGCTAAGAATTTTATTGTATAATTATGACTCTTTGTCTCTTTGTAATGCTCTATCTAATATCCATAATGCATAGTTTAATAAAATAGATATAGATGAATGACTGAAATGTGGTTGATATCAACTAATAGATTAAATTTAACCATAATGGGTAGTTACTTTAGTTTTCAATTAGAAAAATTAAAAGTTTAAATGTTAAAGTATTAACAAAAAAAAATGGTTTCTTAAAAATATATGTTCCATTAAAATTTTTATAGATTATTGCCTAGGTAAAAATAATAAAGTTGTATTGAAAATGAAATAATGATATGTTAATTAATCTATTAATGTACCAAGTTGTGTCTTGCGGTTTTTCCCTCAAGGGTTTCCACCTATTCGTGTTCTTGATATTCTTATTTTGCTAAGATCATGATTTATAACCATTACTATGGGGTGCAATATGTTGTTCTTGATAATGCCATTAATGGTTAGATAAGCAAAAAAAATCTCGTTTCAACGCTTAAATAACGTTCTATAAGTATTAAAACAGACGGATTAATCCCTGTTATTACCCATTGCCTGATTTTGGTAACATTTTATAACCCCACGTCATTACATAATCCCTCTATAATTAACGTATTGAATTTGTCATGAACCCAATCTTTCTTGTATATCTTATAATCTCACGTCATTTAAAAAATACATTAACTTGACGAGACAATCGAAAGATAATCATTTATTTTCGAACGGATTAAGTAATAAATATATAGAGGATTCCTTGTGACTTTGGTTTTTCTTGAAAGTTCCCCCACAATAACGATAACTCACTGTAGAAGCATAATAATAAACAGTTAGAATAATACCATTAATTATTGTTAGGGAATTATAGGTGGCAAAGTACCTTTCAACCTCTTCCCCATCCTCTCCTTATATAAACAATTCATAAACCCTTGTTCAATATTATATACAAATAAATCCACATCAGTAACAAGTACTTATAAAGCTTTAGATTGGCATCACAGCTATATTCCCTCTTTACCGATTCCTAGAGGTTGTTTGCAAAGAAAATCTTGATGTATATGATTTGATATAGCTTTTTAGGCTCAATATTTTATAGGATTCTGACCAATTGATTCTTTTTTGGGAAAAGAAGAGTCTTGATCAAGATGGGTTTGAGTGATATAGGAGCAAAGCTGCCACCAGGATTTAGATTCTACCCAAGTGATGAAGAGTTGGTTTGCCACTATCTTTACAAGAAAATAGCTAATGAAGACGTTCTAAACGGCACTCTGGTGGAAATTGATCTTCATATTTGTGAACCATGGCAGCTTCCTGGTATATCTCTAATCCATTTGATTATTGTTCTTGTGATCTCTTCTTCATCTCTTGATCTCTAATGGAGGACAAATGCATGTTTGTGTAATTAGGATTGAACAGACAGTGAGCATGTTAATTAGGTAACCGTTCAAGTAGTGAAATTAGCAATCCTATATATTCTTGTAAGGCACATGGCATAGTTGGGACCATTTGTGATCTAGTTAACTACGTACTGCCTGTTTTCAAGCAGTAAAAGGAAAAAGAAATCAGAAACAATGGAAGATTCTGGCCATTGGGCTTCCTGAAGTGTTTCAAGATTACCCTACTCTCAAACTTAAGATGGCATATAGCCATTCCCGTGATTCCTAACGACTATATATAGCAAATCCTCCGATTCTTAAGAGATCTGAGTCTGTATATGTTTATCGTGGAAAATATCTTTAGTTACATCTTGATAGGTTTTCCAACATACATAGATGCATACATACATACACACACACACACACACACACACATATATATATATATATATATATATATATATATATATATATATATATATATATATATATATATATATATATATATAATGCAAAGACATTCACTTTCACACGTTAATGGTACTGTTAATAAAGGACAGATTCTGATATAGACTCCGAACCAATTGCATCATTTATTTAGCTAATGATTTGAACCCTCTCAAAGACCATAGCAAAACTGGAAATATTTGCATTCCTTATCCATCTACAGTGTTCAAGTCGTTTTAGGCATTAATTTCTTGTCCTTCCCGCTTAGCATAAACCCTACTGATATGTGATAACTATATCTGAATTTCAATTCTGGGATAACACTTTTATATTTTTTGATCTTTTGCTTATGATAAAAAAGAGGTGGCGAAACTCAATTCAAGCGAGTGGTATTTCTTCAGCTTTCGTGATCGCAAGTATGCAACAGGATATCGAACCAATAGGGCCACCAAAACTGGATACTGGAAGGCTACTGGGAAAGATAAAATAGTTGTTGATCCGAAGACTGGTGCCCTTGTGGGGATGAGAAAGACTCTAGTGTTTTACCAGAATCGAGCTCCAAATGGGATTAAAACTGGTTGGATCATGCATGAATTTCGCCTTGAAAGCCCTCAGACTGCTCCTAAGGTTTGCATTTGCATCTATACATAATCACTTTGTAAATTTCGGCTCTTCACAGACACAAAATACTGTAATAATATGAATCAACTTAGTACTACATACCATGTTCAAGATTGCAAATTTTATTAAATGCGCAAAAGAATTTTTGTTTAAAAAAAAAATCTGACAATCCCTTCTTCGCTTTGTTTTTGGCTGAATTTGAATCGACAGGAAGATTGGGTGTTATGTAGAGTATTTTACAAAGCCAAAGGAGAGTATAGAAACGAATTTCACTCACAAAACAACACAACTCAGGTTACTTCATCAAATACAGATACATATCCTCTTCCCACCAGCGATAGCCAACCACAGTCCTGTGGTTGCTACCACCAAATCACCGCCATCTCCTCCCATCAAAGTTCACCACTCGACCATCACTACAACCAATACGATTATTGCCATCCTAATTTTCCACAACCATCTCACAACACCAGCTTGGAGGATTCTACAAACCAAACGACTTTTATGGATCTCTCAAACTCCAAGTGTCAGGATCACGAATCTGGTTTGTATTCGGAATGTGGTTTCGAATTTGGGATACCTACTTCAATGGGATTTCTTGATGATGATGATGATAAGGTGGACAATGGCATAGTGTTCTTCTAGTAGCACTTATGTAAAATATCAAGTTTTAGGTATAGGAAAAACAGTAAAAAAAATTGTCCATTTGATTATTTGTGATACATATATGTTGTGTTTGTTTCTCATTTTGAAATTAATGCTCGGTTTGTTGTATATTAATAGAAGGTTTGTAATTATTATATATAGATTGCTATTATATAAACATGATGAAGTATAAATGTCGAGTTTTATTCTGTACGTGTACAATTGTACACTCGAATGCTAAAGTTGAGTTCAGGGAATTGATGCAATCTTAAAAGTAGGGATGGCAACAAGTCAGAAAGTTAGTAAATACAACCTTCTGCGTTCCTTTTCTCATGAAAATTACGTACAATTTTGGTCTTGGCTAAATTGAACATGTATTTGAAACTAAGCCACGCATCGATTATCATGCAATTACATCACAATAAGGATGACTCGTAAAATGTAAGAACTTATATATCATATTTTTTCTTAAGGGAAAATGCCTTAAAAAACCAATTAAGTTTCAAAAACGTTCATATTACCCCAATTACGTTTTTGTTGTTCACAAAAAACCAACGAAATAATGTTTTTTATTATAAATCCAAATAAAGTTACGAATAAAAATAACATTTTTTAATGGAGACCGGCATTTGTAGGTTACGTTTCTTTGTTTACCGGTGATAATCTGACGTGGATTATTAAACCACATTACATCAAACATAAGTGCCACAAGGATATCGATTCACCATCAAGGGTTCTCAGTGAAGGGTGAAATCGATATCTAGGGTTCTTACATAACGGAACGGTGAACTCGTGACAGTGAAATTGATTTTTACAGAAGGTGAAGGAAAGTTAGTCGATTGTGCAGCAAGGGTTCTCAGCAGCAAACGTGTCTCGTGACTCACTCAACATTGATGTCTCGTGCAGCAAGCGTGTCTCGTGACTCACTCAACATTGATGTCTACCATCAAGGTGTTTTTTCTCCTAATCCCTTGGTTTACTTTCATCCTGATAAAGTACCTGTTATGGGGCTAGATGTACGTAACATGGATTTCAAGAAGTTCAAGACCTATCTCCAAAAATTGATCAACAATAGATGTCGGGATATGTATTACTGTCTTAAAAATCGGTCCCTCGTAGATGGGTTAAGGGAGCTCAGGGATGAAGATGATTATGTTAGGTTCCTTGATGCTGGGTTTGATGATGATGATAATCAAATAAGTATCTACATTGATGACCATCATGAACCCTTACTAGATTGGATTGAAGAGAAAAAGCTGAAGAATGGGATAGTGGTACTGAAACATATGAAGATGATGTGGACTCGGTATTATCGGATGATCTATCGGTGGACCATGAAGCTGATGATGAGGACATTCAATGGCCTGAAGTTGTTGATCCTTTTTTGTCACAGAAGAACCTTATTCCACAAAGAGGCATAGAGGAAGAAGCTGGTGGTAAGGTAAAAAAACATCCTATTCACGATCCAAACCAAAAATGGGACACTATGATGCCTGAGTTAGGTATGAAATTCTCTGATCGAGATGAACTGAAACATATGTTAACAAATTATGCTGTGTCTAAGGGTTATTCATTGTGGTATGAAAAAAATGAGGCAAAAGCATTGTTAGTAAGGTGCAGTAAAAATGAAAAAGGGAAGCCATCTTGCCCTTTTAGACTATGGGCTAGTCCCATGAACAAGGAAAATTCATTCAGATCAAGTCACTAATTGGATAAACATAATTGTGCTAGACAACAAAAATTAGGTTGTCTTGTTACGTATAAGTGGATTGGAAAAATGTTAATACTTGACATTTTGGAAAGGCCTAAGTTTAGCTATAGGAAAATGGCAGAAGTGGTTAGGAAAGACTATGGTCTCAAGGTAAGTCTTGGGCAGTGTAGAAATGCCAAGTACTTTGCACTAGATGAGATTTCAGGCAATTTGGTAAGCATTATGAGAAACTGTGGAATTATGGTGCTGAGTTATTGAGGGTTAATCCTGGGTCAACAGTCTTGATCGAGACAAATCATACGCCTGATGCTACACACTACTTCAAAAGGATGTATATTTGCCTGAAGTCTATCAAGGATGGCTGGATTGAAGGATGTAGAAGGGTTATCGGTGTTGATGGCTGTTTTTTGAAGGGTATTTGCAAGGTGAGTTGTTAATAGCCGTTGGTAGGGACGCAAACAACCAAATGTATCCTCTAGCATGGGCTGTTGTGCCAGTTGAAAACAAGGAAACTTGGATGTGGTTCATTGATCTTCTACTTGAGGACATTGAGATGGGAGATGGTAGGGGTCTTACAATTATTTCAGACCAACACAAGGTGTGTTATAGTTTACATTTTACTTACTTTATTATGTGTTATTATGTACTTTAAAACTGAAATTTGTTATCACCTTGTAGGGTTTAATGGAGGCTGTTAAGGAAAAGGCACCATCATGTGAGCATAGGAATTGTGCCCGACACATCTATGCCAACTTTAAGAAGAAGGGGTTCACGGGTGTTGAGTTTAGGAGGTTATTTTGGAGTGCTGCAAAGGCTACAACCGATTCCAATTTCCGATCATACATGAGGGAAATTCGTACAATGTCCACAGAAGCTTATGAGCACCTGATAGAAAGAGACCCAAATACATGGTGCAGAGCATTCTTTGAACCTCAGACTTGTTGTGATGCGGTGGAAAACGGTATATCTGAATCTTTCAATGCAGCAATTGTAGAGGCCCGGAAGAAACCAATAATAACAATGCTGGAAGAAATCAGATTGTACGTGATGGAGAGGATGTATAATCAAAAGACTAAGGGGCATAAGTGGGACATGGAAATCTGCCCCTCTGTTAGAAAGAGGATTGAGAAGATGAAAGAAGAACAAAGGTATATTATTTAATTGTAAGTGATTTAATATGAAATAACTTACCTTCTTAATATGATTTCAGGTATTGGGATGTTATTCCAAGTGGCGAGGAAGAATATGAAGTGAAATTAGCCCATGAAGTTTATGCTGATCACCTTGAAAGCAAAACTTGTGGTTGTAGAGCCTGGCAACTCAGTGGTATCCCTTGTGTGCATGCCATTGCTGCTATATTATACCTGAATGGAAATGCAGAGGACTATGTAGCCGTATGGTTTAAAACAAGCATGTTTGGAAGTTGCTATAGGTATCCAGTCAAACCAATAAATGGAGCTAACATGTGGCCTAATGTTCTATTTGATCCCATATTACCACCTCGGCGTAGGAGAATGCCAGGAAGGCCCAAAGTAAACAGAATGAAATGTCCTACAGAAAATGAAGGAAAGCATAAAATTAACAAGACAGGGATGTCCATCTCAAGATGTAGTAATTGTCATCAAGAAGGACACAACAAGAGGCGATGTCCATTGCTCAAACAAGGTTTGTTTTTATTTTGATTATTCATTCATCTACATTTGTATAATAATTATTATTTTTGTTTTAACAATGCAGCAAATAAAGCAACTGTTAGTGAAGGGGATGTTGAAGAAGGGATTAGTCAAGATGGGATTAGTGAAGATGGGGTCAATGAAGATAGGATCAATGAAGATGGGGTTAGTGAAGTTGGAATTGGTGAAGAAGAGGCTGTTGAAGAAGGCGGTATTGAAGACCACCAGGAGGATGAAATTGAACAACAAGAGGATGAGATTGACCATCAAGAAAATCATCACCATCAGCATCAACCTGTTTTTTTTCAGCATTTTGTTGCGAACAAAAGGCGATTACCTTCTGAGAGGATCACGAAACTGAAGTTAAGGAAGAAGGTGGTAACAAAAGATGGAAGTGGGGAAAGTACTGAAAATCCAGTTACTATAAACTAGGATAAGTGTGTTCTATTAGGATTATGTCAGATACTTTGAAATGGCACATCTTTTGGTGCTTAGTGCACATCTTTTGGTGCTTAGGCTTGTCTTTTTGATGCTTAGGCTTGTCTTTTAGTGTTGTGCACATTTACCAACATTTAGTGCCATGTGCACATGCTTGATTATGTGGTTTAATTATGCTTTCATATGTAGTTTATTACCTTTTATGCATATTATAACAATGTACCATTTTGCCCCTATTTGTTAAAACTATGTTAAAATTGGTAAAAACTGTTTTGTGGGACTATTTTGTCAATAAAACTGCCCTTGTGTTTAAAAACCATTTACAACACAAATTACATGCATAATGTCAAACACAGGTTTTATGGACTATTTTGCCCTTCCTATTATCATTTGATAAAGTGTAATCTTATTATGGACAATTTTGCCCTTGCTATTTTCAATCAATAAAAAGTATGTTGCTATTATGTGTGTTTTCAATAAAACTGCCCTTGTGTTTAAAAACCATTTACAACACAAATTACATGCATAATGTCAAACACATGTTTTATGGACTATTTTGTCCCTGTTATTATCATTTGATAAAGTGCAATCCTTTTATGGACTATTTTGCCCTTCTTATTATCATTTGATAAAGTGTAATCTTATTATGGACTATTTTGCCCTTGCTATTTTCAATCAATAAAAAGTATGTTGCTATTATGTGTGTTTTCAATAAAACTGCCCTTGTGTTTAAAAACCATTTACAACACAAATTACATGCATAATGTCAAACACATGTTTTATGGACTATTTTGTCCCTGTTATTATCATTTGATAAAGTGCAATCCTTTTATGGACTATTTTGCCCTTCCTATTATCATTTGATAAAGTGTAATCTTATTATGGACTATTTTGCCCTTGCTATTTTCAATCAATAAAAAGTATGTTGCTATTATGTGTGTTTTCAATAAAACTGCCCTTGTGTTTAAAAACCATTTACAACACAAATTACATGCATAATGTCAAACACATGTTTTATGGACTATTTTGTCCCTGTTATTATCATTTGATAAAGTGCAATCCTTTTATGGACTATTTTGCCCTTCCTATTATCATTTGATAAAGTGTAATCTTATTATGGACTATTTTGCCCTTGCTATTTTCAATCAATAAAAAGTATGTTGCTATTATGTGTGTTTTCAATAAAACTGCCCTTGTGTTTAAAAACCATTTACAACACAAATTACATGCATAATGTCAAACACATGTTTTATGGACTATTTTGTCCTTGTTATTATCATTTGATAAAGTGCAATCCTTTTATGGACTATTTTTCCCTTCCTATTATCATTTGATAAAGTGTAATCTTATTATGGACTATTTTGCCCTTGCTATTTTCAATCAATAAAAAGTATGTTACTTTTATGGACTATTAGCCTTCATAAACACCTTCTATGTGTATCAGTCTTCACAAATACCTTCTTTTCATTCCCACTTCGTAACCATTTTACATGAGTACAATGCAACTACTTTGAATATACATATCCTGATAATTTCAAAGTACATTTTCCTTACATAATAAACTTAACACTAAATCATGTACTTCACTACAAACAAAACAACAAACATCAACACTAAACATTTCATTTTATCCAATTCCTTTCTAAAACTCTTACATTCCTTATCAGTCTTCATCTTATACTCACTGAAATCATGTTCCAATATTGCAATCTTCACTTCAGTATTGAAATCATGTTCTTCATCTTTCTTATTCTCGTTCTTGGTTATAATTTCTTCATCATCATCAACCCATTCCCAGAAATCACATTTATCCTTTGGATCCTTCATCTTCAATTATAACATAAACAAACAATATTGTAGCATGAAAAACAAAAAGGGACCCAAACAAGAACAAGCTTTTAGATATATACTTACCAAAGGGTTAGGACAAACCCTAAATTTTTTACCAGGATTTGCCTTTGTTGTTGATATCCAGATGCGAGAAGGAAACCCACAATCACAAGGATGTGCCTTATCAATTGTGCTTTTTGACTTGGAAATTTTTGATCTTGACCATGAGTTGGAGGATCGAGACGAAGAAGCCATGTTGAAGAAGTCGATTGATTAAGGAGTCGTATCCCCCGAAGCCATGTTGAAGAAGTCGATTGAAGAAGTCGATTGATTAAGGAGTCGTATCCCCCATTATGCCCTATATCTATCTAACACAAATGCCACGTAGATATGCCAACACATATGCCAACTCAATAGAAATATGCCAACTCATTTATCCCCATCGTTTACCTGCAACATGCTGGTCACCATTAAAAAATGTTATTTTTATTCGTAACTTTATTTGGATTTATAATAAAAAAACATTATTTCGTTGATTTTTTGTGAACAACAAAACGTAATTGGGGTAATATGAACGTTTTTGAAACTTAATTGGTCTTTTAAGGCATTTTCCCTTTTCTTAACAACGATAAGTTATTAAGGGGCTAGCAAGAAGCTAAAACCCCACAAAGAAAGAGGCAAGAAAGAAGTCAATAACAAATGAGATATCGCCACAGGTTCTCTAAGCCAACCAATCAATTTTAAACATTCTATACCTGTTTTTCTAGAAACAGTAGACAATTCGGTGGAAGCCTCACCATAATATTTTTATGGTGACCCTTCGTTCAAACTCTTTTACAGGGCAAACTAAGTCTGCAAAATGATTTCCAATAAAAACTTTTCACACATAGATCATAATTACAAGAGACAACTTTAACAAGGTTAAATTTGAACTTCTAACTTCAAACCCATATCCCTATCAAACCCGGTACATCAATCTAGCTAGGTTAGACATGTTGGAAACCCAATCGAAAGCAGTAATATAAATCACCAACTACACAAGCCAATTACATATGTAAGAACTTACTTTACTTGATAGTACCAACATATTAGGAGTAGAATCCATGATGAAGCCAATACTTTTATGATGAATCAAAGTTCCTGTAATGATGCCCTACTATCACGTTATTCGTGTTTTTTTGGTAGTGTTATTCTTATTTTGACACTTCCTCGCAAATCAGAACATCTATTTAAGTTGGTTAATTACTTTAATCAAGAAAACCGTCAATATTATATATATATATATATATATATATATATATATATATATATATATATATATATATATATATATATATATATATATATATATATATATATATATATATATATATATATATATATATATATAGCTTTATACGTCATATCACTAAGGTAAAATTAATAAATATACCATTTGTTAAAATGCTAGTCTCGAAGGCCACATACATTACACAGAATTATTCCAACATTTTTTGTATTTTCAATAATATACAGTCACGTATACATAGAAATATTCTTAATTTGGTTTTTCAGTAGTACTATAATGGTTTGTACAAATAACTATACTTGAAGTATAATTACCCTAGATCAAAAGAAAAACTATTTTATGGTTTTAAAATATTGTTTGTCTCCTTTGTAGAAAATGGTAATCTAATTTTGTGTTTGTTTGCAATGGAATCCAAAAAAGTTGTAATATTTTGATTGGCTTAAAAAATTTGGCAATGCACTTTACTCTGGATGGGCTTGGGAAGAGGAGGTGCTAAGGGGAACCTACTAGATCAACTAAAACAACCCACAAATTTGTTAAGGGGGTGATCAACAGGATCTACTTAATAGGAACTCAATGGAACAACTTGTTTCCATGAAAAGTAAACACCCTCATTTGACGTCTTCATCGTGACAAAATTCCAACAATAGCAAGATTCATGTTTCATCATGTGTAATATTCGGGTTCGATGTAGAAGCCTCAAATCATAGTTTTACCAACCATGTTTCCATGTGAAGTAAACACCTTCATTTGTTGAATCAGGTTGGGAACGATGTTTTTAAATTGTGGCAACTTGGATCGTTTAATTTCCAAGACATTAAATTTCTTCTTACATATGTTAATGGTAAATAACTAGAGCTGTCAAATATGTACCATGGAGAACCAACCAACATGTTACCAACCGAACCAAGAAAATTGGTTACCAATATATTTGGTAGCCAACATGTTTGGTTGGTAGTACCGTACCAATTCAGTAAACTTGGTACGGTAACGGTATTAAATTTTAAATACAACAGTATTACCGTACCAACCAATTCATATATATATATATATATATATATATATATATATATATATATATATATATATATATAATCGAAATCGTATTTTTAAATGTCAAGTGTTTACTGTTTATGATTTTAAAAAGTATAATATTAAACATTAGACTTAGTCAATTTACCACATTAGATTAAAAAACTGAAAAGTTACTTATTAATTTTTTTAGTAACTAGAATAGTTAATTTACTAATTTATATTACTAGACGAGAAAAGTGTCCCATAACGAAACTAGTCTTTAACTTATACAATTGAAAGTTAGAGCAAAATTGATAATATATCCTTACCAATTTGTACCAACCAAACTTGTTGGTAGCCAAACAAGTTGGTACCAAGTATAGTTGGTACGGTACAGGTAGTAAAAAATTTATACCAACTATAGTTGGTATGGTACACGGTTTGAGTAAAAATCAACTGGTACCGTACCATGTTCAACCCTATAAATAACTATAAGACTTTTATCATCGTTGTCTTGATGCAATGATCGACAATATGGAATACTGGGAGATTGTACAATAATAAGACATTTGCATTGTTAGAAATAGTATCCAAGATCATGAATTGTTTTGATAATATTTTTAATAATAGCAAAATCCTTTTAAATTGACATCATGACCTAAATAGCATAAAAAATGGTGATAAATAAGTTGTTAATTTATAAAGAATTAATAAATTAATTAGAAATTATTTTGGTAATTAATTAAATTTTAATTAATTAAATAGCTTAATTATTAATTAATTAAAGAGATTAACTGAAATATTCCAAAAACCACTAAAGACTCTCTGACAGACGATTTTATGTTATCTCTTGAATAAGGAT